CCTGTCCCCCGGGGCCCTGGGACTGGGAAGCCTCAATCTTGTCGGAATCAGCAGGAAACGGCTGTGACTGTAAAACAAAGGCAGTGAGGGAGTAAGCACTCACCATGATCCTTCTTCCCAAAGAAGCCCCAGATCTTCTCGGCTCGCTTCTCTGGGGTGTTCTCGTCGTCTGGCAGGTGCTCCACGTCCTCAGGACGAATCATTTTGAAAATCGCCTGCACCAAACCAAGAGGAACGACTTGTGAGAAGGAGCGGTAGGGGCTGCCAGCCCTGTGGATAAATGCAGGTTCCCAGGCCCAGGCTGCCCTGCTGAATCAAAGCTCCTGGGAGCGGGCCGGGTTGGCTTATGGTAACAAGGGCTAACATTTGTGGAGCGCTTAACACGTGCCACTTTTCTAGCATTTTTACATGTGACCTTCAGAGCTGCATGGAGGCATTATCGACCCCATTTTACAGATGAAGAAACTGACAACTAACCTGCTGAATGTCACCCAGCTAGAAGCAGATGAGCAGAGCTTCTACCCCAGGCACTCTGGTCTCGGTTTGCATTATGCCACTCGCCAGCTTACTCTTGTGCCTTGGAGAGCACTCCAATGGTTGGGGGAGGGAGAGGGGAGGCATCAACAAGAACTTTCCAAAGGTCTCCCCATGGCTCAGGAAATCTCCCAGGTATCCTTCCACTCACTGAGGGATCCATGGGAAGGTTTATATTCAAGGGTCTTTCTCACTCCCCTCCACTCTCACTAACAAAGGAGCCTGATATGTGGATGTGCAATGGGGGGCAAAGCAAGAAGTGCCTCTGCACCTGAGGTCAGGGAAAGGGACGGGTGGTCTCGAGGGGCCCCTCCAGCTCCAGGCACCACCTTGCACAGCCTCAGCCACGGGTGCTCCTCCCCCCTCCCCTCTGCTCCCCTCCTATGCCCCCCTTTTCTCTCTTCCTTCCCTTTCTCCCCCTCCTCCTCTTCCCCCTCCTTCTTCTCATGGAGCACCAGCTTGTAGGCCTCTGCTGGGCCTGGCATCCTCTAGGTGGTTCTGAGGATGTGGTCTCCACCCCAGGCCACCTGCC